CCCCCCCCCCCCCCCCCCCCCCCCCCCCCCCCCCCCCACCACACCTCTTTGGAAACTATAGAGCTCAGCTAGAAGTATTTTTTTTGGGGGGGGGGATCATAATACAGAGTATGGAAACTTTTTAATAGTTTCAAAACTGAAGACAACATTGACCACCCTCATTGCTTACTTTCATTAAGTATGGTGGAACAAGATGTCATAAAAATGGATCTCATTTTTTATTTCTTATAGTAAAGCTAAATCAGAACTGTACTTCATCTGCTTAGGTTAGATGGCTTATGATATACAGCATTCGGAGATCCCATAGAGGTCATTAATCTACAGCAGGATTCTTATCTCGGTTCCTTTTTGGTGGGTGTGCAGTTCTATTTGATTGCAGGTTTCATATCTAATTGACTTGAAAGCTCTTAAACAGTTTTTCCCCCTGCTGTATCTCATGAAGTTTGTTTTAGCAGAAGAATGGAATATGACAATGTCTATTTATGTCATTTTTATATTGTATTAAAAGAGCCGAGAGCCTTACTTCTGAGTGATGCTGGGTGTCTGTTTACTTCAAATATCCAATCTGCCAATCTAGCTGGGAGATAAGGGATCTTTTAAAATGTCTGGTCATACTGATCATATCCTTTCAGCATGTTACTTTTAGAGTGGTGTATGGGCAATGATTTGATTGTGCTGATGAGCATATTTGGAGTTTTGAAAGCATTCTATTAGAAAATGGCTACAATAGAGGAGATATGGCTACTAAAAACTGACTGTCTATGTGGTTGTGACTACTCATATATACCTATTTGCCAGGAGGTAAAATAATTCATTATATCTCGACACCTCAGGATATTTCTTACCACCCTAACACACTTGTACTTTTTTTATAAGCAGATAGCCAAACTTCCAGCACTTGGCCTTAATAACTACCACTTTATATATGGGATACAAAGACATTTGTTGCTAAATAGAGATAACAGCAGAGGCTGGAGTTTTCCTTTTCGGTATCCTCGCTTCTCATTTAGTTTCTATTAACTGAAATGCACATCAGATTATTGCAAGCCTAGCAGATGCCAAGGATATCTGTACATGGATTTCCATCGGCATCACATTGCTTTCCGTACATAGGGGTTGAAGTCAACTAAGTAATTCAGAAACATTGTACTTTTACATGATTCTTCTGTGATGGATGATGCCTAAGGATCATGGGCTAAAAGCTCCCAAATTTAAAGAACTATACAGCCATGTTTGGTGGTCTGTTTCCAGTCCTGCAGCTCTAAATTGTTCCTATAATCCATATAATTTTTAGCCCAGATAAACTCCTATTTCTTATTTGATTTCCCTTCACATGGTTGCCATTCTAGATTGATTTATGGCTATCTGAAGAATAGTTGCGAAGATGTTTTAGCAAATCAAATTTGCCCTGGCTCGCTCAGAACAAATTTAATCTGTGTAATGTTATTGTTTGCAAATTAGTGTTGTTTTTCTCTTTCCTGGCTTTTGATGGCTCTTGAAAGCACAGATCTTTTTTGTTGTTTAAAATCCATCTCCCTGCAACTTTATTCACTCCACATTGTATATATAGTACTCAATTAGACTTTCGTACTTTGCTCAACCATTATAGAAAAAAGATTTCACCCAATTCTCCCTGCCATTAAATAGTAACCAGTTTTTTAAATTTGTTTTGTAGAGGTAGGAACAATTATATTCACAAATGATCAGAATTAGCTAGCTCTCAGATTTTATTATCTAAATAAAAATAATTATTATTTCTGGCTCCATAGTTTGAAAGTATGTATCTGATCTTAAAAGTAGCAACTAGGGAGCATCTTGGTGCAGTGATTAATACTGACCTAGAAAGCAGGAAATTATCTGTTCTAGTCCCACTTTAGGCATGAAAGCCGGCTAGGTGATTTTGGGCTAGTCACTGTCAGCCCAACTCCTCTCACTGGATTGTTGTTATGGAAAAATGCAGGAATATTAGGTAGATTCACCACCTTAAACTATATATTGTATAAAAGAAAAGCGGAGTTAAATAAGGAGGAGAAAAAGAGAACACGACCCTCGTTTCTAAAGTTGTTTTTATATATGACTCTAAAAGTCTTAGGTTGAAACTGAATGGAAAGATGATAGGGGAGGAGTCTTACAAGGATCTCAGGAGTCTTTATAACAGTGATGGTGAACCTTTTTTGCCTCACGTGCCCATCCCCATAATTTAATGCCCCCCACACCATGTCCTCTGCGCATGCGCATGTGACCCCCCCCCCGTTGCCAGCTCATGCGCGCATGGCTTTCTTGGAGCCTGGGGAGGGTGAAAACGGCCTCCCCTGCCCCCCCGGAGGCCCTCCGGAAGCCGGGAACGGCTCATTTTCCGACTTCCAGTAGGTCTGTTTTTCACATTCCCTAGGCGAAACTTTCCCAAATTTCTGTTTTGTGCGTTGGGCAGTTTTTTGCCTTCTGGAGGCTTTAGGAAAGCCTCCGGAGGGCGAAAAACGGCCAAAAATCAGCTGACAAGCACATGTGCGCTGGAGTTGACAAGGCAAGAAATGTCTCTGCGTGCCCTCTGTGGCACACGTGCCTTAGGTTCGCCATCACGGCTTTATAAGATAACCTAGTAAAAGATAAGCTCATTTTACTTTTTCCACCTATCTTATCTTATTTTACTAGGTGGTTGGGAAGGATCCGCAACGTTCAAAATGATATTTTCAGCTGGAGGTGCCATTGAGTTTGGACAGCGTATGTTACAAGTAGCATCTCAAGGTATTTATAACAGAAGAAGATCTGCTAAGGGCTGGTGGGAGGGAAATCTGGGTGTGCCTTGATGAAGAGTTGAAAATGTGTTTCAGATTAGGATACATGCCTGGATTATTTAAAATAGATGAGGAAATTAAAATAAAGCTAATTACAAAATAAGTGCTTATTTTGGCATCCCTCTCTCAAGACTATTCTTTTTATCACGAGAGAACCAGTAGATGCATTTGCTCTTGGCTTAGCTCTTGCAATAGAAGTTTTCTGTGTGGTGTTAATATAAGTAGTCCTCACTTAATACAGGTAGCTCTCACTTTATGACTATTTGAAGTTACGATAGACTTTTTAAAAGCTAATGACCCATCCTCAAAGTTATGGCTGTGGTTATGACTCTTCCGCTTCCATCACATAATTGCATTTCGTGCGCTTGGCAACTAGCTCATACTTCTGATTGGTTGCAGCATCCTGCAGCCATGTGACTATGAGTGGCAATGGTTTTTTTTCCTGTTTTCCAGCAAAAAAAACGGCCATTGGATTCATTTAATGACCACATAGTTTGCTTAACAACTGTAGTGATATAATGGTTTTATAATGACCATGATAAAAAATGGTTGTAAAATTGAGTCAGGTCATGTGATGACCCAATTAACGACTGCGGCAACTTACGGCCAAAATCCTGGGCTCAGTTGTGATCATAAATCAAGGACCACCTGTGTCTGTTATTCCACAAACCAATGGATTATTAGTTAGCTGTTCCGTTTTCAGATCTCCTTTCTGCTAAGGGCAGAATGACAGCCTTTCTTCTCACTCGCCTTTCCAATCACCCACCTCCTGCTGCCTCTGAACTCTTTCTAGTACCAAATTAACTTTCATGAGACAGAAAAGTTTCATTCTCCATAGTGAGGGGGAGGAGTATCCAGGATGGGTTGACTTTATCCTCTCGTTGATTGGACTGAGTTATCAGAACTCTTGGTATAAGCCTCTGGTCCACCAGGCTCCACCCAGTTTT